ATATATATATATATATAGCCACTCCTAAAGCCTAAAATTCCAGAAGGAGCTACTCTTCCTGCATACCATATATGGTCACAGATAAAAAAGCAGCAAAGAGATGTGATGCTGGAGATTTCACCTCCAGGCAAATGTTGTAAATCTAATTCTGACCCCCTTCTCTTTTTTAAATCCCAAACCTCAGCATGGACTTCCCTGATCCAACCTGGAGCCAGAGGCCTGAATGATCAACAGTGAGCCTCAGGTCTGTAAAGGAGCCGAGCCGTCTGCACGTGCTTTCAGCTGCGTGTGCATCCTCCTCTTCTGTCTGTGTTCAACCAACTTCTTTATTCACACGTTCGGTACATCTTCTTCATCTAAAGATCCTTTCAACAAAGAACCACAGGGCTGATGTCATCTCATCTTCAAACCTGAATCAACTGGTTCTGTTTTACTGCTTGATTTTAAAAATTAACGCCCCTGCAGGAGCGCTCAGGTCAACATGCCAGCTTTGTTTTTAGATGCTCCGACACAGAAATTACAAAGATGACTGAGTTAATGCAATAGGCCAAATCTATTGAACAGGTTCTCTGTTYTAATACTATGGAAGAGGATTAGGGCCACTGAAGGAAAAAAAAAATTCTGAATTTTTTTCTCAGAATTCTGAGATTAAAGTCAGAATTCTGAGTGATCAACCCTAGCAAACCCTATTAATCACGTCAAACTCAAGGCACACGGACCAAATGTGGCCCGCCACAGCATTTTACGTGGCCCACAAGCGCTTCAAACATGTATTAATGTCTTTAAAAACATCATATACTGTTTTAAAGCCAGCAGTGACCACAAACTACATCTCCCATTATGCATGTCGATTGGTTTATTGTGGAATGACAGATCCCATCCTGGCAAAATTCATCATTTCTCAATTTTGCTGCATTTTTGCCGGCTAATTTTGATGCAGCCCAGTTTTATTGGGAAGTGGGATTGTCCCACTTACAAGTTGTAACTTTCAAATGGAATGCCCCTCCAGTGGGAATTCCCTGTTAGGAAGTGGGAACATTCTAAATTCAAGACAGCAGCTACTCATCACAACTCAACAGTGAGTAAAACTCTCTTACTTTTACCTTTAATAGTATTTCTGTTTTATTTTAGTCACCCGTACACAGTTCTTCTCAGTGTTAAAAATACGTRTTAAAATGATGTTTCTTTGCAGGAAATACCACGTAGAGCTCAGTTATTGTTTGTTACCAGTAGGGATGTCCTGATCAGATACTCAGTATCAGTATCGGTGGCAGATATGGCCATGTTTTTGAAAATCGGGTAGAATCGGATTTAGTCATGTGATCGGGCCGATCCAGTTTTCAGCATCATCACAATTTGTTTAGTGTCCCAACTTTTTTGGAATCCACTTTATAGTTTCACTCTGAAAACTGTGTTCCAAGTTGTTCTGCATTTTTGAATGTTGTAATTTTAACATCTTAAAATCTAAATTTAACATAAAAACAAACCCCCCAGTTGATTAATTAAGCGATCAGCTTTCTAATTTTCCTCCTACATGAGCGTCAGGAAACCCTCATCATTCCAGATGTTTACACTGGGTTGCCAGTATAAATGGTAATATAACTGTAGTGATAAAAAGATGGGTAAGTAGGTCACAGCTGTCACGTGTTATCGTCTGTATGTGACATAAACGAACGTGTCGTAGGGCGGGCACACACGCACACACACACTTAACTGAAACAGGCAAGATTAGGAAGTGAACCATGCAAAGACTCAGATGTGCAGAAACTTCCATCATGTCAGCGTTTACTCCACACGGTAAACACACATGCTGGGGGGGTCGGGCTGCTAATGACGACGAGTCATTTCTGAGTGTGAATCACGGTGGATCTGCGTGAGTGTGGAGGAGGAAGAGGAGGAGCAAGAGAAGGAAATGTAGGCCAATCATTCTGCTCAGCTGCTTTAAAAGCTAAAACAGAGACGACTCCAGTAAACAGTCGTCATCTCCTCCACCCAACTCTGCGTGATTCAACACTGCAGCTTCATTTTTTATCATCCTCGCTCTGCGTTACACTTATTTCTGTTTATCTCAGACTTTGGTCCTGTCCAGACAAACCACTGCCCTGGCTACTGTTGCCTGGCTACAGGGTAACCACTTAAACATCTCCCCGGAGGAGAGGAGTAAAGCAAACTAACAGAGCAGGGCTTGGTGAGGAGGAGAGGAGTCGACAGGACAGACGTGRTGCATTATTCAAAACAAGATCATCAGACTGGTTATAAATGTTTAGTTCTGAATTCAAGCTGGAATCRTGCATTTTGTTAAACTCCAGAGACACAATTCAACACAAACTACATCTGAAGCCAGAAATCAGCTTGTTAGGCATTAAACATGTCTGCTATGAATGAACCAGTGTTGTGTGTAAACAAACATTTTAGGCACTTTATTACTAGAGATCCTTCAGATGATCGTTATTATCATTAATATCATTATTATATTATCATGGTTAATTTCAGATATTAGCTCTTCATTAGCTGTTTAAGTCATTTGAAAATCCATTGAATTGATTTATAATGTGATTAAAATTAAAGTGTGATTGAAATAAATTGGATTAGAGTTTTGTGAACTGTTGCTGCAAGATATTTTGTGGTTGATTATCCGAATTTCAGACACATATATTTATCAATTGTAATCATATTAATAGTTTAAAAAAATCAACAAGTCTCTATTTAGATTTAGTGTTGTTTCTTGGACTTTATTCCTTGTTTACTATGACATCACATCTGGAGTGTGACCAGATCTGTTTTATTAATGAGAACTGAATCGACCACCTGYGCAGAATTCAGTCTCTCATTTGAATACAATCTTTCACTGCAGTATGAATAAACCAGGACTGAAACTTACAGGAACAATCACATCTTCATAGAAACTCCAGGCCAGCGCCCACCTCATGGTCCGGCCCTGGCAGAACTCGGTGTGGGTCACTTTAGGCACCTGAACAACAAGGACACACATTATAGATAAAAAACAACACCATGAACAAAACACTGGTAGGTTTCCATTTTTTTTGTGATTATCTTCCTTTAATATAAAGAAGTAACTCCCTGTGCACGCATGAGATTTCCAGGTACTCCGGTTTCTTCACGCAGACCAAAAACATGCATTTGAGGTTAAACTGGTAACTCTAAACTGTCCCTAGGTGTGAGTGTGAACGGTTGGTTTATGTCCCTGTCCACAGTGTCCCCCACCTCTCGCACAGTGACTACTGGAGATAGACACCAGCTCCCCAAGACCCAGAAAGGAGAAAGCTCTAATTAGCCAAATTAAAAAACAAAAACAACAAAACAAAACACTTAGGAGAAAATGGAGTAATGAGTGATGAAAGTATGAGCACATTAACTAAATAAGGTTTCTTTTTACACTCGGGTTAAAACGAGGCGTCAGTCTCCTCCCCTGGGTGTTCGCCAGAGCTGCACTCACTCTGATGAGCGGTGGCGCCGGCCTCAGCCCTCTGCAGCAGGGTGGAGGAGGCAGGTGCAGAYAGTGGGTTAGACGGGGTGTCTTCCCTGTTATAAAGCAAAAGCTGGCTTATTTGTGAATGGCTAGCTTGTTTTAACCAGCTGCTGCGTTAACTGAGCTCTTCCTCTATAAGCAAATTTTCTCCTTTTCCTCGTTCTGAGTGGAAACTCACCCTTTGCTTTCTCAGCTCCTCTTTCAAAGGTGTCAGGCTACATTTTTTCCCCAACATGCAGCTGTACCACCTGCAGAAAAAAAAAACCTCACATCAACTGGGTGTTTACGTGCATCTGAATGTGTGAGACGGGGCCAGAGCCAAACTACAAAGCAGAGATCAAACAACCAGAGGCAGGCTTTAGGGAGCAACACAAAGGCTGAGAGAAACCAGGAAAACATCCGGTGCGCTTGGTCCTGCAGCGCACAAAAAGCTGTTTTTGAAGTTAAAGCTGAGGTGGAGACCTGATCGATAATCTCCACTGTGCAATAAAGACGAGTTTAATCAACGAGCGGTGGTAGAGTCCAGCTGGGAGGAGAGACGAAGCCAGGTGGGTCGGGCTGGATCCTCAGGGCTAAAGAAGAGACGACCTGTAGCTTTTCATTGTTTCACAGTTCAAACTTTCACATCTGAGAAAGCTTTGTTATTACTGAACCAAAGATACAGCTGCAGCAGAGACATACACAACCATCTAGAGGAGATTATTTCAGCAAGAGAGCAACATGCCTCTGATGCAAAACCCTTTGGGTGTCAAACTGTCCAGCCTGTAGTCTGAGAGCAGCAACTGTGAAATTAAACTCTAGCAACAAAGGCAAAAACAGTGGTGGTGGGGTCAGTAGATGTAATTGTTGTAGCAGTAGTTGTAGTAAAAAGTTAATTCAAAAATAACCGTTATCTACAATTTACAAACAAATAAATAAAGTTTCTTGGATATGGTATATAATGAAAAATAAAAGTAGAGATGTTCTATCTYAAGGTTTAACTTTGTGATAAGGTATAATTTCATGAGCTACACTAAATATCTGCATAATCCCTCTAGAAATAAACAAAAAAGTGAATAGTTTCTTTAAAGGGGTATTATTTATTTTCCAGGTACATACTTCCAATTCTACACCTCAAACAAGTAACTTTATCTTCAGTTGGTATGAAAATGCTGYAAATATCAAAAATAAATTTGACTTTGCATCAGTTTTTCTAAATGCCTTGAAATTGGTCTCTGTCTCTTTAAGAACCTCCAACTAGTGCTGGGCGGTATACCGTTTCATACCGAAAACCTGTTTTTATTTTTGTTATGATATGAGTTTTCTGAATACCATTCAAATCGGTTTAAACAGCCTGAACACATTCGGAACATWTTGTCGCGTGCGCCAGTGMACTGTTTCCCAGGGGACACTTTTCCTCACAGCACTGTTAGCAAGCTAATGTTATTGTTGGAGCAGCTTCTCAGTAACTGGAGGCGGGTGTCRATTCCGCTACTTATACTGACTGACTTAAAAAAAGATCTCCAGTTTTAAATATCAAACCAATACCGACTTTCTAAAAAAATTACCAATATTAATGCCGATATATCGTGCATCCCTAGTAAAAAGCCAATGAATAGTTCCTGTGCTGCAGAAAGAGAGTAGCTTCAGATGACYGTGGTTTACTAATCAATAAGCTGTGTTTGTACATTTTATTATCWGCTGAGCTCTGATAAAAAGAAAAATACAGTCAAATACAGTGACACTGGTATAATTGTTGGAAACACTGTGGCATGCCGCCCAGCACTACCTCCAACCGTTTCTGACATTCCCACTTCAGTACTTCTTCACAACAATGCTTCATGCTGTTTACAATCTTTGATAAGGCCCTGTCACACTAGACAACTTATGCCAACTTATGAATATTTTAAAGATGTCTACATTGAAGCTGGAACTGAAAAAAAAAATCAACAGGAAATTTGTTTTCGGCATGTATACATAATGTAATTCTAACAAATTGATCAAATATATAACTTTAATTACCAATTTAGACATAAAATGTGTTTCATAAGTTGTCTAGTGTGACAGGGCCTATGGGAGTTTTGTATTTTGTTGTAAAAAAAAAAGGAAGCAATATTATATTTATTGGTTTTGGAAAATGGCATTGAATGTGATTAGTTGACTTGTGGAAACTAACGAGTCAGAGTGTAAAACAGGACCCTGATGTGTGGTTAGCGAGGTATGAGGATGACCAGAAGGTGGAGGTGGGYGCAGGGGGAGCGACATGTCGAGCCTGAGCTGACATAATAAAAGATTGATCACCTCTAATATTCACAGATGTTTGCCACTTCTGCTCACAGCGGGCAGAGGAGGAACACCCAGAATCAATCCACCAGCAGCTCTTTAAAGAATCTGAGAGAGAAGCTGCGGAAGCTGTCGGTCTTCCCTCTTCACATTTCTAAATTGCAGGCATGTAATTAAAGTCTGGATGCAAGAAATAATCATTTTCATATTAAAAAAAACTGATGAATTCTGAGCATCGCATCAGTTCTAACTGCAGCTTTGAGCTCCTGTGTGACAGTAATTAGCCTTTGGTGGAAGGAGGGTGAAGGAGCAGCTCGGGGTGTCTCACTGGACCGAGTGTTAACAGCTGGCACGGTTACCATGGACACCTGGTAGCTCTGGTGTCCCAGCATGCTTTGGGGAGTGACAGCCGGCTCTGCTTGGTTTGTCTGGAGCTTTGAAGTTAAATAAATCTGGATCTGCTCCGACTGTCTGTTCTCGCTGTACGAGCATAAAACAGGGACACGCCGGAGAACAGGCAGGTGCTAACATCAGATCCTCTCAGGACACTCATCTCTGCACTGAAGCATCACACACACACACACACACACACACACACACACACACACACACACACACACACACACACACA